AAAAAAAAAAAAAAAACACATGCCATTCCTTGTTTACAACTTTAAAAATGAGCAGAGGGTGAAATGGAAACTAATCACAGGAAAACGAAACACACAGCGAACTCATTTGAGTACTTACAGGTTCTTGGATTTCTTCTTCTTTGTCCCTTCGGGGCCGACCTCGCAGCTACAGGGGGATCCGGAGCTCAGCTGAGGGGAGATGAAGGAGAGCACACACTGCATCATCCACCCTCCACACAGAAAGAGGGCCCTGTAGCCTCATGCAGATACTTTAGCTAGCCCCAACAGGCATTGGGAACCTAAGTTGGGTAGTAAGCTAGCAAGTCCACGGATGTCCAGATAGACTAGTCCCGTCCGTAACACACACAGCCAGCTACCAAAAATGATTAATCCATAGCAGCCGTCCACAGTGTAAATCCCACAAGGCAAACCTCTCTCAGAGGTCTGTGTCTTGCAGAATAAATCTGAGTGTGTGTGACTGTGTGTGTGCAGCAGATGGTGTTTGTAAACAGTATGTGTCTGGGTATAACAAAGTAAGGAAAATCTGTGAGTGAGAGAGTGTGAAAGACTACGGCTGTTGTTTCTGTTGGGCTCCAACTGTGCCCTGGGTTTGAAGTGTTGAGCCAAGACCCCTGGTTTCACATTACACTTTCTGCCAACCCACCACTTTGATTGGTTAAGAGGAAAAGGGAAGTAGCCTCAGGGTGGGGAAGGGGTCAATCTCAACTAATCTGAAGGCTTGAAGCTGCTCCATTGTATGTGTGTGTGTGTGTGTGTGTGTGTGTGAGGCTCTAAATAATGAGCCATTGTATTACAGGAACACACAGTTGAATCTGAGCTAGATACTGGCCACAGCTGGTAACACATGGTGTGTGTTTTCTATCTTCGTGGGACCCAATCTGACTTTCAACCTTCAGAGTGAAATTTTTTGGCAAATTGAGGACATTCTTGGCTGGCCTTCACTTCTTCAAGGTGCTGTTTTGAGGTTAAAGTGACACTCTACCCCAAAAAACTCACCCCCCTGTGGGCTTTAAAGTTGGCTGTACTGTGTAGTTTCCTCACTGAGGGAGAACAGCAACTTGAATTAAGTAGTAACTATTTCTAGAAATCCCTCAAACCTCAAAGGTCCCATCTTCACCAGTAGTGAAATCTTTTTTTTCTGCCACACTTTTTTTTACCATTGGAATCCATGACCACAGCTGTTGCTCTCCATCAGTGAAGAAGCTACAAACCTCTAACAGTCATCTTTCAAGCCTACAGCGGCTGAATGATGAATCAAAAGATACATTCTGTGTGGATTACCCCTTAAAGGGAATACAGTGGTTTTATATGTTGGCAAATACGAGTATTTGCTTTCTTGCCCAAGTGAGTGAGAAAATTGATACCAGATGTAGCAGTATTTATGCTAAGCTACATTAATCATATCCTGGCTGTAGCTTCATATTTAATAGATATGAGTGAATAAAATTTAATAAAGTGAATAAATGTATTTCCCCAAAATGTTGAACTAATCCTTTACGGTTAAAAGTTTGAGTACAGGTTATGGTTAATCGTATACTGTAGTTGCGATGGTAAACTATGGTTAGAGGCTAAAAATGCATTACATCAATGAAGGTCCACACTGGTATAATAATACATATTGATGTGTGTTTGTGTGAATGTCTTTGTATGTGCACATTGTGTTTGTGAGACTATTATTGTATTCAAACAATAACGCTTAACCCCATGAGAACACCTTTCCGGCATTATGCGTCCATCTATGTTGAGCCACCCCACATATACCAGCTGCCCAGAGTCATATCCTGTTGAGCTTTTGTATTGTTGTTGAACCCGGTCAACACATTACCCATTTAAAGCTTTTTAAGTGACTGACAACTGCGAAGAACACAGAAAAACAGGAGGAGGAGCCCTTAGAAGAAATTGCTTTATGAGAGATACATTTTAAAACACTAATTCTGTCTTGACTGTGAACTGGGATTTGTGGAATTTTGAATTTGTATAAGATATAATATTGACCGTCTCAATGACTGCGCTTCACCTGGTGCCTTTTTAAATGCTGACTAAAGTTTAACGCCATTTTGCAAAATCAATGGAGGGCAAAGGAACTGATCAATACTATTTGACTCATGAAAACTTACTTACTTAAAAAAGCTTGGTAGTCATCATCCTGACCTCAGAGAATATAAGCCATTCGTAAATTACCTTTTATTTATAAATTTTTTTAGACAAGGCTTTTTCATTATAGTTCCTAAAGATGATAAATACTTTTAGCCCTCCTGGTTTCTGTCAGCAGCACAGCACTTAAACTCCTCAAGTCAGGGTTGTAAATTAGACCTTGTTGCGTGCTGATTAGGTGAGTACAGTGTGTTAGTGCCCCTTGACCTCAGTGCTGCTTTTGATACCGTTGACTTTATTTAAAAAAAGATTTACTGGCTCCTTCTCTGTGAGTGATAATACATTTCTAGCAATTCTTAGTGTCTGTGAATGCATTTGTCTGCTCTCAATCCCGGCTGACAGTGGGGCGTCTCTCTGCCACGTCCTGCTCTTTCGTAACTCCTCCCTCCAACTGAGACTCAGATTGTCATTATAGGAAGTGTACACTGATGCTCCCAATGTTTTATGACTAAAGTAACAGTTGACTGTGAAAGGTGAATGAGTGTACGTTATGTAGGAGCTGTCTAAAAATAAGTACAAGCAGAAACAAAATATTTTTAGAGCTGCTGCTTGATGGATACAAAGACCTGTTGAACTGGACTGTGTACTAACAGTGGTTGTGCGTGTGTAGGGCTTTTGTTATCCTTGTCAATTTGCATGACTTAGAAAAGACTTGGTAAACTTGGTTTGCAAACTAATTTTGTATTGTACAAAATGCTTGATATCAAGGCTATTGATAATGTGATATTTGGTGATGAATAATGGTGCTTGACGGTGTTCACACAAAATAAATGTTTGAGAAAAAACAACTAGTAATGTGGATATGATGAACAAACAGGTGGAGGCATTAAATAATTCAAATACTTTTAATCTAATCAGTTGATTTTTTTTATTATCAGTTTTTCTTACAGTACTCAAACCAAACCCAGATGATCTGTATTCTCACACCAAAATAAAATATTTGATATACATCCTCCACCTCCAGAAGTAACCAAATCATCCTTCCAGAAACAGCTACGGCTCATATTTGGTTGCATGAACAGGGATCAAGTCATTGAGGGTCATGAGAGACTAAAAGTTTAATCAGTAATCTCAAAGGGAACAGCACAACAGTGGAGTCCCAGTGCCTATGGAGCCGTCTGCCAGACTTTCCCCTGAAACCACAGAAAACAATTGGAAAACGACACAAACTTTG